GAGAGAGAGAGAGAGAGAGAGAGAGAGAGAGAGAGAGAGAGAGAGAGAGAGAGAGAGAGAGAGAGAACATCTCTGTTTCTGAATCTGGCTCAGAACTGCTTCTAGATTCAGACAAAATCATCCAGGCCGATTGGCCCCAAGTGGGTGGGCTGGGCATGAGGCTGTAGGCCTGACTCCTTGGCTCTGAGCCTTTCTCCTGATCTCATTTTGCTAACCTGATGGGCTTACCCTTCATCTGGAGCATAGTCGCTGCTCATCCCTTGAGGGCCGTCGTGCAGGTCTGTTACACTTGGGAACCTCATGGATTACAGTTTGCGTAACTGTAGTCTAGTCTATGAAGTGGCTGTTTCACTTGAGGCTCGACGTGGTGAATCTTCGAGGATAACGGCCGTGGTTGTCTGGAATATCCGTCGTTTCTTTTCCATGAAGGTTTTGATGACTTGGTAAATTGGCACACGGCGGTGGGTTTTGATCTATCCTTACTACGAGTTTCTTCTCGGCCTTGCGTGGGTGAAAAAGTTTTTTACGCAGCACTGAGGGGCTCTGGTATTTGCAAAGGGATATTTTTTGTTGTCCTAACATCATGATGCCCCTTGTCATTGGTTCACTAAGCAGGCCCTCTTTGCCCTCCCTCGTCCTTTATGGTGGTTACTATGGTATCCTGTTAGGCTGTGATGCTCTGAGCTTATGATGTCTGCGCATGCATGATAATCGCTTGCAATGACTGAAGCTTGACTGAGCCTTGCTTTTTTCGCTGCTTTTTGTCCCATGTGCTCCGTTTTTTTTTGGTTCGTTCTTGTTGGTCCACAATTGGCTCTGTAAAGTCCAGCGGTTCTTGTATGGTTGTTCTTTGTTCTTGAATTTATGGCATTCGGCGTCCTCCTAATTTCGCTTCTTGTCTTATGCTCTCTCTTGAATCTTTGCCATCCATGATGAAGGCAATGTTTTCGCTGCTATGACCAATTCTTCCCCAGTCATTGCCAAGCCTCTCCTTTTGGCCGCGATCAGAAATGCTGTATTTATGACTGCAACCTGCCGATGCATTTATCTTACGAAGAGAGACTTTTCTTTCGACGTCCCGTGGTAAAGCCCATGTGTTGCTCTTCCCGCGTGATTATGGACGCAGCATGCCGTGATGAAGTCACGGCAGTTTTGTACCGTACCGAAAACACACCCACGCACATACATTCTCCTGTCTATTGATGGGGAGCGCCACCTGCTGGAAACACGGTCCAGCGTCCCATGAACATCGTGAATAAAGCACCAACCGGCACCCCCCCCACACACACTCTTCGAGTTGTGTATAGCGAACATGACAAAACGTACATACAACATAATCACTACCTTACCCTTCTCGAATCGCATAAACAAACGAACTACGGGCTGCGCACCCGTGCCCTCACGGTAAGTCAATAGGCCTGGGTCCACGCCGTTTCATATTTGAATTTCAAGGACCTGTGGTCCCCACGCCGTTTCAAAATATTTTAGACCACGGCCACCTACCGGTTACCAGGAAAATGCCACGGGCAAATACCGGTCCTGCATTTGCTTGAACTGCGCCCCCCCCCCTAAATGCCAGTGCCTTTCACTTTACCAGCCTTTGAATTTGAACGACCAATGGGCCCGAATGAACGACCGATATAACGAACGACGACGAAAATGTCTCGGGGGGGAAACGCAACCCTGACGGGCTGCGCCCAAAACCCAGTGCGCGATCCCACAGGCAGCTACCGGTCCCCCATTTTTCAAAGAAACTGCCACCCCCCCCCCAAGTGTCGTGCCTGCACCTGCCTGCATTTTTCTAACCTTCCAACGACCAACCGAGCCCTCATCAAAGGACGACGAAAATGTCTCGGGGGCGAATGTCTCAGTCTCAGGGGGGGAAAACGTACCCTGACGGGCTGCGAATTTGATTCAGGGGTATAAAACGCACCCCTCACGGGCTGCGAAAAGCTGCGACTGCGAAACTCCGGTTTGGAACCGAAAGGACCACCGGTATAACGAACGACGACGGACCCGAACGGACGACTGGTATAACGAACGACGACGAAATCGACTCAGGGGTATAAGCGCACCCCTGACGGCCATGCATTCCAACGCTTTCTCGACCAGGTGCATCCAGACGACTCCAACGTTTTACATGTACCCGGTCCATATATGTAATGTTCCAATTCCAACAACAAATGCATGCATGTAGCGGCCCAGGCCTGTAGCCGTACACAGGGTTGTACCGAGCTCATGAGCTACAGCTCGAACCCCTCTGGAGTCAATCAAGGTCCGTCTGTTCTCGAGGGGATTCTGGAGATACAGACGGATGCTGGCAGTCGCCATGTCGCACTTGTCCTTCCTCGTGCGACATCACCGAGCGACTGTCTGTCCGTCGCACGTGCCACCATGGACAGAGTAGCGAAGGCCAGACCTGTAGCCGTGCATATGTGCGGCCTCCTCAGAATGGGCACTGCGCGACGACGACAGCACTCCTTTTCGTTTTCTCTTGCTGGTGTTGTTCTTGTTCAGCGACTGCAGGAAAGCGTCATGACCAACGTGGCTTGAAGGTTGGTTCTCCATCCCATCAGTGAGCGGGAAAACGGCTAGCTCCGAGTGAAGTTTGCAGGCATGCCCCCTCTGCCGGCGGTTTTTTTTTTTTTTTTTTTTTTCCACTTGCATTACGTAATCCCTGCTTATGGATTGGCCAAAGCAGCGTTTGTCTGTCGACGTGGCATCAGATGGAAGAATGCGCTCTCCACAGAGATGAGGCCACAACATCAAGTCGTTTATCTGCTGTGGTGTACGATTCTCTACAGCTCGGATCCAATGCTGGTGATAGGACTGCAAGAATACTAATTAGGGGGGGGCAGTGGCCAGGCGGCGCAGGCGCACCTGCCGTGCGATTGCAGATTGTATTTACACTCGTGGAGTCCCTCTCCCAGGAAACTCGACATAATCACAGTAGAACTTGGACCTTATCGGGATGTAATTGCGGTCAGATACATGCGGACAAGCTACGACGAAAGAAACCGCCGTGCCCTGCATCCAGATTAGTCGTAGTGTGAATATCACCTGAGAGAGTGCACGTGATTGGAGTGGTGGGCCCGATCGGATGGATGGGTGTGCACCCATTCAATTGGTGCCTTTGCCGCGCCCCCCTTTGCAGCCCGCTTCCAACAAGCGTGGCCGAATCGTGCGGAATCGTGCGGCCCTATGGGGTGTTAGTTAGACAGGGCTGGGCGCCGTGGGGAGCTTACATCGTGCCAGCTTTGCACTCCATCGAACAGGCAGAGGTGGATGGGGTGCGCGGCGCCAGGTAGGGTGTGCGAGATTGAGGGGTGCCCGCCGCCAGGTAGGGTGTGCGAGATTGATGGGGTGCGCGGCGCCAGGTAGGGTGTGCGAGATTGATGGGGTGCCCGCCGCCAGGTAGGGTGTGCGAGATTGATGGGGTGCGCGGCGCGCGCCAGGTAGGGTGTGCGAGATTGATGGGGTGCGCGGCGCGCGCCAGGTAGGGTGTGCGAGATTGATGGGGAGCGCGGCGCGCGCCAGGTAGGGTGTGCGAGATTGATGGGGAGCGCGGCGCGCGCCAGGTAGGGTGTGCGAGATTGATGGGGTGCGCGCGTCAGGGTCAGGATAGGGGTGGGTGCAATTGAACGGGTGGGCAAGGGTTGAATGGGTGGGCCACACTTGAAGCGGTGGGTGCGATCAGATGACGTGGGTGTTATCTGTCTGGTCATTGATGTCGAGGGGGGTGGGGAGGGGAGGGGGAGAGAGGAGTTGGCCACCGCAGGATCGGGGGGGGGCGCGGAAGAGGGGGGGAGTTGGCCACTGCATCTGCAGGAAGGTATAAGAGGATGGTGCAGATGGGAGAAGACGAAATGGATGGTCGTTTCTTTTTTAAAAAAAAGAAAAAAAAAAAGAAAAAAAAAAAAGGATGGTCGCTGGTGGATTGGTGTACGTATCGGAAAGTTGATGTGGCTGCGTGGTCACGGGTGCTTCGTGAATCCGTGTTTTTTTTTTTTTTTTTTTCCCCCCCCGTGAATCTGTGTTTGGCGCACGGCGGATGCTGTGGAATTGGGTGCTATTGAAAGAAAAAAAAGGAATAAGAAAGAAAGAGAATTGGGTGCTATCATACGTGCTGTCCTGGGCTTTGACTCTGGACATGCACAAAAGACAAAAATCATTGCGGTGCATCTTTCCACGTTCTAGCGGAAGATTCACTCTCGTTTTGCACATCTCGAGAGAAGTGGAGCGAGGCCCACTATGGGCATCGCCACACCACTCGAGAAATGTTCCAAATGTGCAAAATGAGAATGAACTTCCTGCTAGAACATGGCCAGATGCACCCGCCACATTTTAGTCTTTTCACATTTCAAAGAGTGGTGTGGTGAGGTCTAAGTAATAATGGAATTGTAGGCCGCTGGAAGCCTTTGGAACTCTCTTCCAGGTTATGGGACTACGGTAACTTCCTTCTGGACGGAATCGCGGCCCGATGCATTCAGGTTCGCCCGGTCAGATACATTTTTATTTAAGACATAAGAAGATAGTGGTAATGTGGGTATGTCTTGAAAGTCGACCGATGTAAAA